CAACTAACAAGTCAAACACAACTGAACAACCTGTTGAAACAGGTTTATGGTGGTGAATAAACAAACTTTAGAATGCATACTTCCTCTATTGATTGATTTAATCATCGAACAGGTTGATACATGTATTTACCTGTGAGCTATCGCTACCGTTATCCTCTTCACCAGACGTCGATGCGACACTGTGCGAATCGGGCTGAAAATTTGATAAGAAATCATCAACCAGTTCTTACATGTTTTGTGAAATACTGTAACAGCTCGTATTCTGTAAATGCACAAATTTGCACAATACAGTAATCAAATGAGTTTCTAGCCTTGTGTGGTAAAATCTCTGCTTATTGAATAATCATTATTTTTCTCAAAAACCTGCAGCTGAAGGATTTTCGGCGCTAATTGCACAACCTTCTCCCCATATTCCACAATCGATATCAATCAATAACCTCAATCAATATTTGATTGACATCTTATGTATGCAGGTGATATATATGCTGATCATCACATACAAAAACCTGTCGTGTCCTATCAAATTGCTGATCAACACACCGAAACGGCGCTATTGCTAGCCAATAGCGCAGATCGAAGTTTCGTTTTCACTAATCAATAAATCAATAAAATCGTATAATCGTTAATCGTAACTTACCATATTGTTGGCCTGCTTCTGTTGTGGCTCTGTTCGCATGACAGAGTCGCGTTTGGCGCTTACCTGAAGCAAAAAGGAAATTGTTACTTGAAAGGGTTACTGTAGTGCATGGGTCGAGTTTTTGTCACCGGGTCATGATGTGCCTCATTAGAATTACAGTAATTTGATTGTAGACCAGAAACATTACAATGGTATGAAGTACATAACATTGAAGAATGCGCATGTGAAAGGAAAAGAGGGTGGAAATGAAAGCTATTCAATGTTGAGATAGAAAAGAAGTTGTTACTTGAAAGGGTTACTATATTGTATGGGTATAATCAAGATCGTGTAAGGTTAGACCTTTTGTGACTAAGGTAAACTTGAATTTGTGGAATTTCAAAAGAGCAAACGTGTTAAGACTTTAAAAGTACTTCTACAAAAAAAAATTTATAGAATATCCAGATTTCCATGTAAATCTAAGTTAATAATGTGAAAATAAGAGAACTTTTTAAGTTCTGGAGGTAGAATTGGGAGAAAACCTGCTGTTTCCAGGTTGCAAAGTGACAGCTATGCAATTTAGTCC